CTCGTAGAAATTTACCGCCTGTAATACCACGTTAAAGTGCTGCTGTAGCTATCGTAATCTCAGAATGTACCGATGGAGCTTTGTCTAGAAAAGAATAGATCGTTTATCGCTATTTTTCTGCAGAATTTGTAGGAGTATTGATTTTGTTCAATCGTAGAGTTTTCCAACCATTTCCATTCGGCACGAAACGTGAAATAAACGTAGTCATTTTCTTTGACTTACATGTTAGCGTGAAGATAAGAGGAGTAGAAGCAGAACGAAAAGATAAAAGGCAACGAGTATGGAAGAAAACGAATACGAGTGGGTAAGAGTTCAATCATTTTCGAAAACAAAAGAGGTTCGTCATTAATGTTACTTTGATGCTTACCTTTGCGTAAAGATGACACAGCACATATGCCTCTCCAATTTTCTCAGCCAAAGCCATATCTTTAGTTTGCATTTTTAACGCCATTTCATACGCCTCAATAGCTTTATCGGGCTGAAAAACACTAAAATAACGGATAGATAAGTTCAATTTTAACTTATTATTTACTGCCTACTCTTTTTTAACTCCCCGGAAAGGACAATAGCGCGTTCGTTCCCCACCGCAGACATCTGCCGTCCGGAGTTTTGCAAATATCTCAGCATCGTTGTGTTTGTATTTCTGGTTATAGCATGCCGTAAAAATTTATTGAAGGCACCAAATAAAAAGTTAGTAGAGTTATTAGTAATGTTTTGCAACACACACACACACACACACACACACACACACACACACACACACACACATACACATACACGCGAACATGCACATACACAACAAACATGTGCACACATATACACACACAGGCACATACACACAAACACATGCACATACACACACACATACATACAAACACACACACAATATCGACAAACTCTCCAACCTTATCACTAACGGATAGTCTTATGTTTTTCAACTTCATCAGCTCTCGTACCTCTCGCATACCACGTTTTTGTGTAGTGATGAAGGACATTGAAAGTTTCATTCGTAAACATCCGAAATTTAATATCAACTTCACTATTGGGCTCTTGTTTTCCAAAGAACGGCTGAGGAAATGGTGCTACTGGTAGGTCCACCACTTTGTGTTGTTGGCACCTATTTTTCGTTTCATCTAGCTTTTTTGCGGAGTCTATCTTGATTGATTGAACCATGAATGAGTCAAAATGTCAAGGGCTGCCAGTTTAAAACCATCAGTTAACTCTCAACTAAAGTTGACTTACAAACATGTCCCGTCTTATACTTGCTTAAAAAAACTCATAAGTTATTATCCAGCGATGATGTTGCGTCGAACGATTCATCATTGTTTAAGGTTAGACCTATCATTCATTACCTGTGTAGACGGACCAACGGACAGGATAACATGGTTTTTAACCCTAATATTTAACCAGTTGTTGAAACATATTCCAGCTCATCTTACGAATACCCAGATGTTTCTGGATCGTCTACGTACTGCGCAGCCCAACAGCGCGTGCGTGATGGAGTCCTTCGACGTTACCGCCCTTTATACAAACGTGTCGAATGACTCCGCAATGCAAACCATATCCGAACTTCTTACACAACACAAAGGACAAATAAACATGTATGGCTTCAAGATAGGCCAACTGATGGCGCTGTTAAAAGAATGCTTCAGTTGCTCAATCTTCGGTTGTTCCAGAAAGTACTGCGCTCAAATAAGAGGGTTAGTAATGGGACAGCGACTGGCCCCAAGTCTTGCCATTGTGTTTATGTCTAAGGTGGAAGCACCGATGACTGATCCCGGGCCGCTACTCTACTGTAGATATATAGATGACTGTTTTGTCTTTTGCTCAACACCAGAGCAAATGGATAAATATTTCGAGTTGTTGAATGAACAGTCAGTGTATCAAGTTCACCCGAGAGAAACCGAAAGAAAACTGGCTTCCATTCCTGAACGTCCAAATTAACTTGTCAGAAAATGGCTACATTACAAAGTGGTACCGAAAGCCAAGTAGTAAAAACATCTTGGTTCATTACCTCTCCTCTCACCCCTCTCACACGAAAAGGGCGCTTGTAAGAAACATGTTTCGAACAGCAACCAACGTGTGCACGGGAAGAGAGCAGAGAGAGAAGTCCCGGAACTTGGCGCAGCAAATAGCCATTTCTAATGGCTACGAAACTGTAGGTCGGGATAGACGTAGGAAAAATCCTAGGCCTCCAAACGACAACTTTAGCGACAAAAAGGTCCCCTTTAATCCACCCTTCATCTCAAATGATGTAAGTGCAGCTATAAAACGCTGCTTTAAAAGGGTGGGTCCAGAGAATTCGATAAACGTAGTTGAAATGCCATCGAGTACTCTTAGGCGCCAGCTGGTTCGTAACCGCTTATGTGACCGTCTACGTGCAACGCAAAATTGCATAATTTGCCCTAATGGCAGAGACGGTGTTTGCATGAGCTCGGGTACAGTTTGTCTGATCTCCTGTAAGGCGTGCGGAGACAAATACATTGGCGAAACGGGCTGACCCCTCTGTGTCCGCATAAAAAAACACCTAACCGGCAAAGGTAAACCAAATACCCCACTAGGCACGCATAGGGCACAGAGACATAACAGTGAGGACTTTGAAGTATATGTCGCGATCATCGCGCGGGAATCGAGAACACAATAGCGCAAAACTCTCGAGGCGTTCTGGATTAATTCCAAAAATCTGAAAATGAACCGTAGGGAAGAATGCCTCATTATCACGCGTGATATTTGGTAGTATAGAAGTCTGTTATTCTGATGGAAGGGGCACATTACGCTTCCATGTAAATTCTGTGCGGTTGGTCTCCACACAACATACTCAAGCATCATGAACGCGGTGAGTGTGCAAAGCTGTGTTTAATGTGATTGAAATCTTGGTTTACGTCTTCTTTGTTTTCTTATGGAAGAGTTTGGCCGAATAGATTGCTGTCAACTAGACCTTTCCAGACTCTGAGGAAGGCGAAATCCGCAGAAACGTTAGCTTATTCGTGAATGAGGAATAAAAATAACACCTGGCGTTTGCTCAACAAGAATATGAGGAATCATGTTCTAACTTTTGTTTACCGGTTGTTCTTCTTTTCTGCTATTACCGTTGACGGGCGATTGCTGATAGCAACGATAGAGTAAAAATATAGCTGGAAAAAGGCAGGGGTCCTATTAGTGTGGTGGACAACAAGTGAGGCCTCGGTAATCGCCATTGTCATCGTGGGTATGAAGCTGAGGTTCCTCGTTTTCCTCATCTGTCAGCATCCTTAAGGTTGTATTTATATTTAGGTTATTTAACAGTATTCTGTTTTAACGTTGCTGAGATATTTGTCGAACTTCGGACCGCAGGGGTCTGCGGTGAGGAACGAACGCGCTATTATTCTTTCCGGGTAGTAACGCGTTCACCACCACACCGTGCTGGTCCTTCGTTTCGCCTGTCTCTCAGCTAGTTCTATCGATCACTGCCATCAGCAATCACCCGTCAACGGGATTGAATCCTTGCATTATTCTAGATAATGAGACAATGTTTACTAATGATAAGCCCAGAAAAATTTTAGCCTACCATCTATTAACAACGGGTTTTCCGTAGCGCATTACTTAAACATACTATATATAGAGAAGAGTTTTCTTTTTATTTTTTATACCACCCGTCTCCCACACCTATTGTGCCCATCTTTCTTAGTATTTCTCAAAATTCGATACGTTTTCTCTCATGCAAAATCCACGGAGGTCTTCCAACTTTATACGTGTGGCTTCTGCTGCTTGAGGATATTCCTTTCGTCATAAATGTAGTTGAATGCTGGTCGAGTCTGTTATCCCTGGAGTCCTGAGACAGCTGAACTAGAGTGTTCTCAACTAAATTGCAGAGAGCGAGTTTTTCCCAGACACATTCGATATCAGTTTTCCGACTCCGAAATGATGACTTGGTGAGTCCGGTGCAGGATCGAATCAACACCGTACTCGTGATGACCGGCACCACTACCACTGTGCTATGCCTCACTACATGTGGTAAAGATATAGCGAAAATTTTCGATGTAGGTGGGAAGTGATCAGACGATCTCTATGAGAACATTCGAAACTTCCAGTGAAACACTTAAGACTACGATTCGAAGAGCTTCTTCCATAAGGTCATGAAAAACATGAAAATAATCAAAGTGTAACCGAATTGACAAAAAACAGCAATAATTCAAAGTTAAATTCAAAATAGTTCGAAAATTTTCGAATATTATTTCGGGTAGCTTGGTCCTTATTTAAAAAGCAATTGTTTAAACAATATTTTATAAAACGTGGTAGCCAGAAAGAAAAATAATACGATACCTCTTGAACGCTCATATAAGCATCGCCGAGCAAGGCATAGGTAGCTGATGATGGGGCACTTTTCAGAAGTTCTCTGAACAGTTTAATGCAATACATGAACATTTAAAATTCTTGAAGATTGCAAATCATGAAGAAAATAGCGAGAAGAAGAAACAGTGTGGTGACACTGATAAATATTTCTTCGACGGCCAAAATTCAAAACAAACAATCAAGGCATATAATAGCTGAGTTGGCTAAGGATTTCTTGTGTGTATACGATGTGCACCGTTTGAATCCGTCTCGACACCAACAGATCCATCCCTATAGTTTTTAAAAGCAATAAACTCGAAAAAATTTTGACAAAATGAGTGTTGCTTTTATTCATCGGGGAGCGTGTAGAGCAGTGACTAGAGGGGCCAGCAATACACATGGGTTCGGTCCTGCGCCTCGTGCTCACCAAGCCTTTCACCCTTCCGGGGTCGGCAGGTTGGTACTACACCTATCGGTGAGGACAGCAGCACAGGTCCGATACATCGGTAGGCCATTGCGAGTCAGCGTATGGATCACATATACATTCGATCACCTCTAACGAAGCCTAATGAAGTCAAACACATGGGGCATCCCTCTGAGATTGTTCAACGCCGAGAGCTTCAAAGCTTTAGCTTTAAACACTGCTTTGTAGAGGTATTAGATAAAAATCCAAAAAAGCTCAGTAGAGATTACTTGTAGCAGACGGTGAACATAGTCTTGTCATGCTTCTCTTGTAGATAGATTTCAGCCATCTTTATGCGAGCCAAGCGATAATTGGGTTGTCCTGGTTGCACCTGGATGTGTCCCAAAAATCACTGATCAATCAAAAACGGCCGAAAAGCTATTGGAAATATCTCCAACCGTATTTAAGATGGCTAGTGCCCCATCCACATCTCCTTTCGTCACATGCAGTTGAGCGTTCATCAGAAGCAGTTGCTCTTCTTCGGGTTTAGCTTTCCATTCCTCCAACGCCTCCTTCATGATAAGTTCGGCTTCATGCTTAATAGACGTGCAAAAGAATATCGCTTTAGAGGAAAAAAAGTGAAAAAAGGAGGTAAAGTTGAAACATAAGTGGTGTTTCACTGGTGGAACATTTGAACGATACCTTGTTCGTTTTGTCTTATTTGGACTCAATGTAATCCAAATAGAATTAAGATAAAGGCAAAGCTTAAAAAAGTATCACTGATGAGCAACGGTAAACAGAAATATGGTGAAATCACATAAGTCAGGGACTACCGTAGCAAACTGCTCCCTAAGACCATTATCTCATGGAGACTCAAAGGTTTTTGGTAACGTTCCATTTCTAGTTCTTTAAAAAAGCCTTCATATCGAAGATCCTGAGTGAAACGTGGTTATTCCGATAACGTAAAATGGAGCTGATTTTGTCCAAACGGAAAACTTTCTCGTCACGATCAAATTATTCATAGTAAACGCTTGACTTACCGTTTGCTTCATCGATTGAAGACAATCAATAAGTTCTAGTTGAATCGATATCCGCTGACTGTTGCCGCCTTCGCGATGCATCAGAAGATTTGTCGAGCGCTCCTTTTGTGGTAATTTCAGACCAGCTTTCAGCAAATCGGCAGCTTTTTCAATTTCATTCTTTTGCTGAGTGAAAAATTTATAAAAAACTTGCTTGCGACTTTTTTTTAAAAAATGAGCTGCTTGTGAAATATAACCACAACGGTGCTGAGATACTTGCAATACTCCGGACTGCAGATGTCCGCGTTGGGGATCGAACCCGTTATTACACTTTACCCCCACTAAGCAGGTGGTATCAATGTGGGTGAAATTTTCTTGAAATACGAAATATTTCGTGTGGAAAATTCATTCGTGGTATATAACTACTAAACCATTCCTTGCAATCATCAAAGTTTAGCAATCATGATTCAGCTCTCCTGTCTCTCGGCAGCGTCACGCAAGGCGAGAAATAGTCTGACATATCCTTCAGTGACCCCATTTAGGATTAAACACATAGTCCTGCAAGCTAATGCTGACTTCCTGGTGCCGAAAAGAGGGGTGGAAGGAGTCATCATAAAAATTTTGAGCATAGAAGTCGAAAAATGAAATGGCAATAATTACACCGACGAAATAGGTTTCTACACAGTTTCTAATTCCATAGCAAAGGCAGTTTGAGAGGTGCACATAAACCACTGAAGATTTTTGAATCAGGCCTTTCAACTCATGTAGATATCGTTGCCGTCCTGGAAGCGTCGTAATGGTAACGGAGCAAACTGTTCTTTGATCTACAACAGTAGGCAACTATGTGGTGAAGATTATGGACAGTCTTAGCACGGTTATTTCGTCCTTTACAAGAAAAAACGTTTCCAGGGTTTCCAGCATTAAGAGGAGAGAATATTATAGGTTGATAAGTCGTAACCGAATTAAACAACACGATCATCCTTATAAAAGGCGGTTGCAGTATAGCGAATTCAGAGCAGGAAGGTTTCTTGCATGTAAAGTACTTAAGGATGGGCAATTTAAATATGTAACTAAGTAGACAATTTCTGAAAATTTACGGCTTCTCACACCCCAGCAGGTATAGACAAAATATGCAAAATAATAAGCAGGATGTATCTGGCTAGTGAAATGTGTCTAAGTTCAATTGTAAGGGACAAAATGATAGAGTATCTTACATCGATCAACCCCTATGGGAGCGCGGCGCACTCGACAAGCATGAATAAAAGTGATCGAACGCATATATGACCTATACAATAAATCGCAGGCACCGATATCGGTGCCTTTATTCTCTCAGACAAATATGGTACTAATTTGAACACCTTAGAGGGATGTGGGCATGGTTAACTCAAGACGTGGAATCAAACTTGAGGCCGACCCTGTGCTATGTTAGCACCCTTAACTACTGCACTACAGGCGCTCTGTACCCATACTTATCCAAAAAAATCCGCTCACCTTGTGCAGCTTAGCCTTGATTAAGTGAAAAAGGGAGCTTTCTTTCACGGAGAAATTGAAGCTAAGGCCAGTATTCAAGCAGCTATCAGCATCAGCAATTTGTCCTTTCATTAGTTTTATCTGAAAACTACATAACGTCAGTAAACAAATGAGACCATGAATAAGAGCATGTCCAACAATTTTTTTCTCTAATGTGAAATGAGCGATCCTGGTATAGCTCGCTGAATCACTTCTGGTTGGCCGCCGCACAGGAAGCTCATGTGTTGGCGTGTTAAACGAGGGCGACGAGCAATCAGAACGGGCGGGCTTAGTCCTTATTACGGATGATGATCGTTGAGATTACCTCCGCCCTCAGCAGATAGGCATCGGCGATTGTTTCATTCTTCTGTAGGCATTGTTTGATCATTCGGTCGGCCGCATCACATTCCGAATGCAAAAAATAACAACGAGCGAGTATGAAATACGCTTGGCTGACTCCTGAACAATTGTGATATTAAACTCACTGAAAATTGTGAGCGAACGCCTAATCTTCAACGCTGTAAAAATGCAAGAAAAATATTTACCTGAACAATTGTCAACAATGATGTTTAAAATTCGTTCAGCAGTTTTTAATGTCTCATCGGGAGCTTTGATCGGCTGAAAAATGACACTACAAATTATTGATAGTCGTCATGGACTACTGCTATGGAGTCAAGTTTGTTAAAAGCAAAGTTTTCCTTTGGTAATAAGGTTTCAAGGTGTTTTAAGACAAAGAAAGAAAGAGAAGAGAAGGGAGAGGAAAGCGAAACTAGAGAGCCGTATGATGTGGTGGCGAACACGTTAGCTCGCAGAAAGGTTAGTAACGGGTTCGATCCTCACCGCAGACACCTTTGGTCCGGAGTTTTGCAAATATCTCAGCATCATTGTAGTTCTATTTCGCATAATACCCTGCCGTAAAAATTGTAGCAGGAAGAAAATAAAAGTAAACATTGCTATAAACTTTATTAAAGCTGGGATATATATAAATATATATCCAAGATGTTTTAAGATCCTATACTGCATCCATTAATCATAATTTCCGAACAACTGATAGAACAGCGTTGCTCATTATCAAAACAAAAAAAAAACGACAAACGGCAAATTTCAAGTACACTCAATGTCTGTCTAATTGAGCACCACTCAGTCGAGTCATCAACCACACGCGACTATAATCAGCTGTTCTAAACTTCCTCATTGGAAGTCTCGTAAAAAGCGGCCCTGAAGAAGGCGATACTGCCGAAACGTCAACTAGCGTTGTATTGCATTGTGTTTTTCTATGGAAGTAAATGTATGCTGTTTTAAAACCTCGCGATTGCTAAACAAGAAAACGACGCATTCATATTCCAATGCCGAGGTTAATAGAAAGTCGATCCTGAGAACTATTGCAAGGTGTTATTTTTATTCTTTGTTTACGAATAAGCTGACGTTTCGTCGGATTTCGTCTTCCTTAGAGCCTGGAAAGGTCTAGTTGACAGCAATCCATTCGGCCAATCTCTTCCATAAGCAAACAAAGAAACTCTAAACTAAGATTTCAATCACATTAAAAACAGCTTCGCACACTCACCGCGTTCATGATGCTTCCACTGAGTATGCCGCGTGGAGACCAACGTCACAGAATTTACATGGAAGCGTAATGTACCCAGAAATCCGAAAATGAGCCGCAGGGAAGAATGCCTCATTATCACGCGTGATATTTGGTAGTATAGAAGTCTGTTATTCTGATGGAAGGGGCACATTACGCTTCCATGTAAATTCTGTGCGGTTGGTCTCCACACAACATACTCAAGCATCATGAACGCGGTGAGTGTGCAAAGCTGTGTTTAATGTGATTGAAATCTTGGTTTACGTCTTCTTTGTTTGCTTATGGAAGAGTTTGGCCGAATAGATTGCTGTCAACTAGACCTTTCCAGACTCTGAGGAAGGCGAAATCCGCAGAAACGTTAGCTTATTCGTGAATGAGGAATAAAAATAACACCTGGCGTTTGCTCAACAAGAATACGAGGAATCATGTTCTAACTTTTGTTTACCGGTTGTTCTTCTTTTCTGCTATTACCGTTGACGGGCGATTGCTGATAGCAACGATAGAGTAAAAATATAGCTGGAAAAAGGCAGGGGTCCTATTAGTGTGGTGGACAACAAGTGAGGCCTCGGTAATCGCCATTGTCATCGTGGGTATGAAGCTGAGGTTCCTCGTTTTCCTCATCTGTCATCTCATCCTTAAGGTTGTATTTATATTTAGGTTATTTAACAGTATTCTGTTTTAACGTTGCTGAGATATTTGTCGAACTTCGGACCGCAGGGGTCTGCGGTGAGGAACGAACGCGCTATTATTCTTTCCGGGTAGTAACGCGTTCACCACCACACCGTGCTGGTCCTTCGTTTCGCCTGTCTCTCAGTTAGTTCTATAGTTCAAATATCTCAACATCATTAAAGTTATATTTCGCAATATATACCGTGCCGTTAAAAAGAGTAGGCAGTAAATAGTAAGTTAAAAATTAGTATTCGGTTTGTCAGATTGTCTTTGAGCGGCTGATCATCCTGAATCAGTTGCTGTCACAAAAACTGCTACACTCTATGAAGATTCCACAACAAGACGAACAACATTCCTATCCGCAAGCTCTTGTGATTTCCACTGCAAGGAGAGTAGAATATATCTTGGAAGTCTGGACGAAACATTTTATATTTAACATGTCTATGAGAACAAAAGGCCGACAGATTGTCAAGCCGTCGCCAAATTCTTATCCTTGCATATTCGCTAACTAGTGGCGATACAGTGATAGGGCTCCAAGTGCAAATGGTAGAAGCACTCGTATCGGCACGACATGGAATACAAATCACATAATAGTAATTTTCTTCGTATTTTTGTTGAGCAAACGCGAGGTGTTATTATTCTTTGTTCACGATTAAGCTGACGTTTCAGCGGATTTCGCCTTCCTCAGAGCCTGGAAAGGTCAAGTTGACAGCAATCCGCTCGGCCAGACGTCTCCATAACCAAACAAAGAAACTCTAAACCAAGATTTCAATCACTTTGAACACAGCTTTGCACACTCACCGCTTCCTATGAGGTTTCCACTAAGTATGTCACGTAGAGACCAACCGCACAGAAATCACATGGAAGTATAATGTGCCCCTCCCATCAGAAAAGCAGTTTTATATACTGCCCTGTATCACGCGTGATAATGAGGCATTCTTCCCTGCGGTTCATTTTCGGATTTCTGGAATTGATCCAGAGTGCCTTGAGAGTTTTTCGCGCCTTTGTTCTTGATTCGCGTGTGAGGATCGTGACACATACTTCGAAGTCGTCCCCGTTATGTCTCTGAGTCCTATGTGTGCTTAGCGGGGTATTTGGTCTATTTTTCCGGCTAGGTATTCTTTCATGCGAACACAGAGGGGTCTACCCGTTTCGCCAATGTATTCGTCACCACACGTCTTACAGGAGATCAGATAAACTATACCCGAGCTCATGCAATCACCGTCTCTACCACTGAGGCAAATTATGCAATTTTGAGTTGCAACAAAAATGGCTACATTACAAAGTGGTACCGAAAGCCAAGTAGTAAAAACATCTTGGTTTATTACCTCTCCTCTCACAC